CAGCATGTCAAATTGTTCAGTCTTCTATGGGGTAAGACCCAAGTCTGGGCAGATTCAGGACTCTGGTCAAATGACCTGGTGTTTAAGACAGGCCTCAACTCGCAATGGGAACTGGAGAGACACCCACAGCTGAAACCCTGGCAAATGGAATGAAGCAACACCATGCAATGAGGAACGAGATGGTGTTCCCGAGAGTCAAGAACAGCATTTCTTCTGCTACCACCAAGGTGATGTTACATGTGGTCAGGATCTAGCATCTGACCCCACGACTGAAAATGTCTAGGGAAGACTAGAAACTTATACAAATCTCTAATTTATCTTTTTTTGATTTTCATGGTAATGTCTTAGGTCTTTAAGTTAAATGATACTGAAATATACATTCTACAAATAAAATTTTATAATTGTCCTCCAACAAAATAAACAAGAAGAGACAAAGCATAAAACACCTCAATTGATTTGAGCAATAATTTTTTATTTGTGTAACAAATATTAAATATTATTTTCACTAAACTATTTTCAGTTCCAAATATTTTAGTTCCCAAATACAAATAGAAAGTATTCAATTTGTCATCAAACTACTCAGAATAAAATACTGTAGAAAGTGAAAGCCACCTTTCAGTTGAATCTTAAATAGGATATTAATTTTCCTATTCAATTCTCTGAGAGGAGACTCTAAAAATGAATTAATTTTAATGCTAAATAAAAATTTTGATTTTAAAATAAAACAAGTAATTGTAGTATATTATTTCAATTATCTCTATATTTTAAAGTTATTCATGTTATGAGACAAAGATCCAGTATAAGGAGAATTTGTTTGCGTCAACATAATCTATCAAAATACAGTAAAGAGTCTTGGGCAACATCTGAAGACAAAGCACATGTCCAGGATTGTTCTGGCTCTATTTCTGCACCACCCTCGGGGGCCAGACCAACAATGCTAGCTTTCCTCTGCAGAACTATTAAATGCCTATTTTATCAAACCAAGCCAAGGAAAAAAAAGAATGAAATAATGAAACAATGAACAGATTATACTATTTTCTTCTCTGATGGTGTTCATTTTAAACTTCGTGTGCAATTTAGTCTAATAAAGAGGTTGTAGAGGGGAGAAATGGGAAGTTTCAGAAAGATTTTTTCTCATCCACCTAGCCTATATACTATATACCTATAATACTAATTCTATTCCTATAATAATAGCTGTAAAAAAATACTAGCTTGCAGGGTAACTATGGTTATAATTGCGGAACTATTGCAAATATATTTCGCCTCACAATTCTTGAATGAAAAGAATAATGTTCTAGAGTTTTAATTAAAGTCTTATACAAACTACAAATTGCTTTGTGTTGTGTGAACTTTAAGAATGGGAAAATGATTGACTTTGTCCCATGTCCCATTTCCCACACAGGAGGGTCCTGATGCTTTTTGCAGATCTAAGCACACACCATATGTTCCATCAGCAGAGACCAGGTTACCTCATGGAAGCTCAGAAATCTTCCAGGGAAGCATTCACTGGGTGCAACCTTAATTAACAAATTACCCTGGCTGGGGGTGGGGCAGGGGGATCTGGAAATCCAATTTATCCTTGTTATGTGAAACCTTCATATTTGAAATGTTATACAGATATCAAAAAATAAACTTTGCACAAAACACTGTACAAATAATAAATTTTAAGTTGTGAAATCGTTCATAAATAGAAATCAGACAGCAATGTTCACAGCACGTTTTTCAGACTGGCTAAACACTCCGTTTATCACTGTGTACTCCACCGAGGGGAGCATGTGTGCTGTTCCCACCGAATGACACAGATTTCAAAAAATAAGTATGATTAATTGGATAAGTTAAATGACTGATTTGGAAGTTCCTGTAGCAAGCTCTCCATTTGGTCATTTACACGTGGTATTAGAAAACCTTTAAAGATAATTTTTAAGATGTCCAACTACCTAAATATAATAAAATATTTAAAAGAGAGAAACACAAAAATTATAACCAGAGTGCATACACATATAGTTAATCTATAGTAAAGAATAGACCACATGGAAGGTGATACAAGGGAGCCCTTATAATAACAGAATTATTATTAACAACAAAAGTATATATGTTAATAACAACAGTGAACTAGAAAACTACATTACACTGTAAAATCAAGTTAATTAATATAAAGATGTAAACACCAGGTTACATCATCTATCCCCTCCCCCCATCCAATTTTTACTTATTGTTACACATTAACTTCAGAGTCTATTCAGTTGACAAAAGGTACTGTTATGCTTTGGAAACAGCAAGATAACCATAACAGCCATCAGAAGGAAAAACTGTTAAACTAAGAGAAAATCCTATGAAGTGACACCTTCTCAGAGATCCTGTCTGCCTTTGTCTGTCCTTTATTGTGCATTTTCTGTGGGTGAGAACAGGTAGAATTTCTGCTCCTTGTGGCTGTGATTTTGAAAACTCAGTTCTGATCTGTAAATTGAGGACTCTGGTGTTTCTAAACGGGAATTCTAGGATATAGTTCCAGCCCTGGGCTTGCTGGAGGGATGGGGCAGCTCCCCCCTGCTGCTGTCATCTCCAGCTTGGAGGACTCATCACTCTGTCCCAGTGACTAACTCTGCTCTGCAGCCCTGTCCCCTTCATCTCAGAGCCTCAGAGCCCAGAACCCTGCCATCCGGTCTGATTTCTGGCAGCTGACAGAGCCTTCTAGACCGAGATACTGCTTCGACCACAGGCGCGCTCAGTCCAAGGCTTGGCCTAGAGCCCCTCACCCAGTAAGGCTGGTCTCTCTGCCCAGTCAGCAGGCAGCATTGCACACTCCAGCAGGGGTCTTTTTTGTTTGTTTCTTTGTTTTGTTTTATTGTTCGTGTGTGTGTGTGTTTGTGTGTGTGTGTGTGTGTGTGTGAAAATAAAAGATTCCCAAGACCAGGACCTGGATTCTAAAAATCTTACTTCTAGAATCCAAGCACTGCCCAGTCGTGTGTCAAATTTCTCCCCAAATGTCATTCTCCTCCTTGAGAAATTACATTGGTTTCCAGTAGTCTACACTTCTGAACTTTCTGCAAAGTGGAAATGTTTTTAGAGGACAATGCTTTTTCTCAGCTCCTGGGGAGTGCCTTTCACTGGACAACACCCTGGCCTCTCTCTGCCTGCTGTGTCACTCCTGCTGGGTTCGAGCGGTGAGCCCTCCGCCTGGGGAGCTGCCGTGAGCTGCCCAGGTCTTCTGTGCCCGTCTGGAGGATGACACAGGAGGTAGGCTCTGCTCTGCTCCTCCATGCCCTGGGTGTTAGGAGGCAGATTCTGCCCCCTGTGGGAGAAAGAGGAAGAACATGTGGAAACTAGACTGAATATGGGAAATCAAAACATGCAGGCAGAGAGACTCTCTGTGAAGTGCTATGCGTTGGTTAGACAAGTCATCAATTAGCTTCTCAGCTTTCAGTGTCAGTGTGAAAAAGGAGCCTTGATTAGTTACACAATTCACAGTGCCCATAGGAAAGATCAGTTACTCAGAGAAATACAACTGTTCCCATAACTAAGGCCAGAGGAAAGTTCCGCAAAGGACCATCATAAAGGGAGGCATTGTGTAATGCCATGAGCAGTGCCTCAGCAATGCCTGCATAACAAGCCGACACTGAATTTAACATCACAGAGGTACTTCTTGACATGTCCTTTTTGTAGATCAACTGCCTCTGCCTCGGATCCAGCAAAAGCAATTCTGATTATTTGGGGAAAGATGGATAGGGACAGCAATGGCAGATAATTCCTGCATGCATGGCTCTGATAGTGTGAGTTAATCCAGGTGTCTATTTAGAATACTACAAGCAAACATTCTGTATACCTGCATGTCCTTCTCAGCTTCTGATAAGATATTGGGTAGTAATGAGTCAGAGATTATACACCCTAGAAAGTGCTCAGAATATGGCTTCTCTGTTTTGCTAATTTAATAGAGATCTATAAGGCTTAGTGACTAAGCTAAATAAACCACTGAGCTGGGGGTAGTGGTGGCATTCTCTTGGGTAAGTTAAGGGACCTAACGAGACATATTGGTGCCGTGAAGAGCAGGCAGAGCCCCCGCCCAGATGTGTGCAGAGAGTATGGGGAGTCAGGCGTGTTGGGACTGTTGACCTTGTGGATGTTGGAGGTGAGATGCGATGTGCAGTTGCAATACTGTGAACAGAACAGGGGCCCCTGTGCAGATGAGATGTCACAGGGTGTGCCCATTGAGCTTCTTACCACAGGCTGCTCTTGCTTTGCAGACTTCTTCAGAGTCTTAACTCTTTTTGTCTTAACATGCACTGGCTTGATGGAGGTAGGTCCGGTCCTGGACGTCAACCTGGGCTGTGAGGACCATGGCGACAAAGTGCCCTCTATCTCCTTGACACAAAGAGAACCAACTTGTTACTCTCACATCACTCTGCAGATTTGTGTCCCTTTCTTTTCCTCCCTTGCCCCGAGCTGAAATAGCAGGGTAAAAGTTTTCAGACCCATAGGACCTGGATCTGCAACCCACCCCCTGGCCTGATTTAATTTGCAAGTTGTCTTTCCCCCCACTCCTCCCAGTGATGCTAGTGTAGAAAACAAAACATACCATCACATCAGTGTTTTCTGGAAGCACCTGGAAAAGTGGAGCAGGGTGAGGTAGTAGCTTGAGGTTTGTTATCTTATTAATATTAAGGCGGGGAATGGAAGGTAGGAGTGAAGGGACAGGAGTCTGGAGAGAAGGCATTGTGCCCGAGTTCTGTACACGAGGATAACACTGTTTCCTCTCCTTATGCCAGGCTTGCTTTCTCAGCTGCTTACACTCACTCTTTCCTTCTCACTGTTCTCAACGTCAGTCTTCTGGTCTCCCATTCGCACTTCTTGCCTCACTCTTAAGCATCTTCTCTTTCAAACTCAGATGTTTGCTGAACATAGCAAACTCTGTATGCTATGTATAGAGTCTTCAACCCAGATGCCAAAATAAGAGAAGCACAGAATGAAAAGGGGGGAGGGGGGAATAAAAATTAAATGCAAACCTTGCCAAAATTTAGGTTGTCAACCTTTCTTCTCGTTTCCATTTCCTCTTTATGTTTATTAACCTGTGAAATTAAAGGCTCATATCATTTGCTATTGTTTGCAAAGATTAAAAAGGATAATTTTCTAGAAAACTTACTTAAGCAATGAAAGAGTATCATCTTAAACCATTTGACTGTCAAAATTATTATGGAAAAATAAATTATAATGTTGAATATAAATTAGAAGAGAAAATAATTTTTTTAAATTTTATGTAGAAAAAGTATTTAAAAAAATGAACAGATTTGCAATAGCTATGATCTGGAAACAGTTCAAGTGCTTATCAGTAGATGAGTGGATAAAGGGGCTGTGGTACATTTACACAATGGAATATTACGCTGCTGTAAAAAATAAGGGTCTCTTAATTCTTTGAGACAGCATGAAGGGACCTAGAGAATATTATGCTAAGTGAAATAAACCAGTCAGAAAGACAAGTATCGCATGATCTCACTTATATATGGAATCTAATGTACAAAATAAACTGATGAACAAAATAGATCCAGAGACATGGAAGCAGGGAACAGATGACAGATATCAGAAGGGAGGCGGGCAGGAAGAGATAAACCAAAGAACTTATATGCATATATGCATAACCAATAGTGTAGTGAAGTCCTGGGGTGGGGGACCCCAGAGCAGGGTGGAGGGGGTCAATGAAGGGAAAAGGGGGACATCTGTAATACTTTAAACCATAAAGATAAAATTTTAAAAATACAGGAAATTCTAAGGCAAAAAAAGTGAACAGAAATAGACAAAACTATAAATATTTACAGTCATTAGCATTTGTTCATGGCTTTAAGCATAATAGAGATTATAGAGGAATGTTCACTGTTTGCTAATGTGGTGATAATTTGTTTCATATATTATTAAAATAGCTATAAGTCTCAGGCCATATAAGATTGTTTTTGGAGAAAATTCAGATAATTTAATAGTCACATTTAAATACTGTAATAAATGTATTTTATTTATTTTAATTATTATTCTTTTTAATCCTCACCCAAGGATATGCTTATTAATTTTAGAGAGAGAGGAAAAGAGAGACAGAGAAACACTGATCAGTTGTCTCCCATACATGCCTTGACCGGGGATTGAATCCTCAATCTAGGTATGTGCCTTGACCGGGAATCAAACCCACAACATTTTGGTGTATGGAATGAGGCTCCAACCAACTGAGCCACTTGGCCAGGGCAATATGAATGTAACCTTACATTTAAAAGTCTAGCAACCTTCATTTAGTGGTTTGTAAAACTAAAACACTGAGTTAACTTGATGGAATTTTACATTTGTTGCAGAAGCATCTGGACTTCCACATGAATTTATCGCCAAGCCCACCTTTGTGAGTTTGCATCCAACTATGATGAGCCTACATATGTCAAGTAGGCAGAGGCCCTTTGTGCTGAACACCAAACCAACCTAATTGAAGTTGATGACAACAAGAAGCCAGGGGAATGGGTAGGTCTCTGAAAAATTGAGAGAGAGAGAGAGGGGAAGTCCCATAAAGTGGCTGGTTGCAGTTGAGTGGTGGTAAAGGACTATGGCAAAGAGTCTCAGGCAAAGCATGTCATTGAGGAGGACTTCAAAATGCAAGAAATAAACAAATAAACTTGGCTTTAGTTTCTAAAAAAAAAGTCAATTTTCATTCCTAGGCATTAAAGATATTTTATCAATATTTAAAAAATTGAAATATAATCGACATATAGCATTAATTCTAGGTGTACAACATAATGACTCAGTATTTGTATATATTGCAAAATGATCAGCACAAAAAGTCTAGTTAATATCCATCACCACACAGTTTCAATTTTTTTCCTGTGAGAACTTTTTTTTTTCTATTTTGTTCTTTTTTTTTTTATTTAATTTATTTATTTTTTATTGATTAATTTTTGTTACAGAGATTCTCCTTTTTTCCCCCACTGATTCCCCCCCTCCCCCTCCCCTCCCTGCCCCTTCCCCAGATTGTTGTCCATGTCCACTGTTCATGCATACATGCGTATAAGTTCCGTGGTTCATCCCTCCCCCACCTCCCCACTCCTTAGGGGATTGTCAGACTGTACCCCGCTTCCCTGTGAGAACTTTTAAGATCTACTTTCTATGCAACTTTCAAATATATAACACAGTATTATTAACTATAGTCATCTTGCTGTACATCCCCATGACTTATTTATCTTGTAACTGGAAGTTTATACCTTTGATCACCTTCACCCATTTTGCCCACCTTCACCACCTCCCACCTCTGGCTACCACCAATCTGTAATCTGTATTTATAAGTTTGGTTTTTTGTTTTTGCTTTTGTTTTAGATTACACAAAGTGAGAGCATACAATATTTGTCTTTCTCTGTCTAACTTATTTCACTTTGCATAATTTCCTCAAAGTCCATCTATGTTGTCACACATGCCAAAAATATATTAATGCATGCTTTAATAATGTGAATTTTAATAATACAAATTTATAAGTAATGTCAGTGATTCCAATTCTGAGTAATCTTATTGTGAAATAAGCAATGGTGAAAAATACATCTAATCATTAATCTCATTGGTATCTAAACATCAACTATAATGTATTTTCAAAAATATCTCTTCCCTACTGATTGATCAGAATTCAATAGACCACAACTTTGTCTCATGAAATCTTAGGGTCTTGGAGGTCAGTAACTGATGTCCATAAAGGACTGTGCTTAGGTGATCTAAGTGGGTTTAAATTCAAGGCTAATATTATAATCAACCTCCATTAAATTGGTTTAAAAATAATTTTCTCACCCTGACCAGTTTTGCTCAGTGGTTAGAGCCTAGGCCCGTGTACCAAAGGATCTTGGATTCAATTCCAGTCAAGGGCTTGTACCTGGGTTGCAGGTTTGATCCCCGGTCCTGGTTGGGATAGTACGGGAGGCAACCAATGTGTCTCTCTCACATCACTGTTTCTCTCTCTCTCTCTCTCCTCTTCCCTCCCTCCCTTTCACTCTCTCTAAAAGCAATGGGAAAATATCCTTGGGTGAGGATTTAAAAAATAATAATAATTTTTTATACCACTATAAGAAGTTGCTAGAAATATTGAATAAAGCATTCCTTAATCATTAAAAAGTATTTATTGAGTGCATACTGTATACCAGATACTATCCTAGGTGCTGAATGTACAATGATAAGCAAAATAGACAATGACATAAAACCATTTTAGGTGGGATTCATTTAGATGAAGCAGTCAGGGAAGACCTCTCCTAAGGAGATGACATTTGGCTGAGATCAAAAGAGAGAAACAGAGTAACCATGTGAGAAGTGGACAGAAGTAGGGGAAGAAGGTATAGGGGAAATATCCATACCTTCCCCTTGACTTTGCTGTGAACCTAAAACTGCTCTAAAAAAGAAAGTCTATTTTTTTTTAAAGTGGGAAGAAGAGCATTGCAAGCAGAAGAAAGAGCATATGCCATGACCCCAGAGGAGGGAAGAGCTGGGAGGGTGTGCAAAAATCAGGGCGAAGGTGCAAAGTTTTAATTTTATTTTAAATGCAATAAGAATACCATTGAATAATTTTAAGCATGGGGGTGTGTCATGATAATATTTATATTATGAAGACATCATTCTGGGGGACCTATGTTTCTGGTCATGGACAAGTAGCTGCTTTCAAGTTGACCCTCCCACAGATGACAACTATAAATTTTGGGGAAAATATTGAAAAAGCAGCTATCTGAAGATGATAAAAAGAGATTAAAAGCAAACAGGTTTTGGAGGGCACTTCAAAGAATGGGATTTCCCATTTTTATTGCCTTTAACTTGGCAGTGCCCTGTACTAGGTGGAGGACCTAAAACAATGATGAGAAACTGGCAGCCTTGCAGGTTTGCTGTGGACAGAGTTCAGGGCAACCACAGTCAGTGAAAATGAGGCAAAGAAACCCCAAGGATAGCTAGTCTGAGGAGCCCCAAATTCTGTGCATAAACTCAATACAAATCTCTGGATGATGCCTGAACCAGGGTTGCAACCAAATGAGGACTAACAGATTGAGTTGAGATTTGAGCTGCCTCCCACTGCAGGTGAGACAGAACTTGCAGTTGGAGCCCAACCAAATTAATTACCTGATTGTAAAAAATAACACATAACATTCATAATGTCTATAAAATCCGAAAATACTCAACATGCAAATATGTAAGAATATGTGACCTATTTTTGTGTGAAAAGACTATTGAGATGGCAGCTCAAAGATAGTGAAATAGGATCTCTAAAGTGCTGAAATAAAGAAACACTAATAACCCAGAATTCTATATTGAAAGTGTCTTTCAAGATTAAAAGCAAAAGAAAGATATTTTCAGATAAAGAAAGAACAGAGAGATGTATCACCAGCAGATCTACCTACAAGAAAAGTTAAAAGAAACTCTTTAGACTGAAAGGAAACCTACATAAAATCTCCCATCTTTAGGAAGGAATAAAGAGCATCAGAAATGATAAATATATAACTATTTTGTCCTAATTTATTTCATTACATTAGATTGTTTAAAGCAAGAAGTTTAATCTGATATAAATATAATACATAGGATAACTCTAACTTGAAGAGTAGAGAAATAAAATAAATCTATATAAACAGACCTATATATTTTAAAATTTTAAATATTTTACATGAAATTGCCCAATATTAACTGTAAGTGGATTGTTAAAAGTTAAAGATGTAAATTATAATTGTTACAGAAACCGCTAAAAGATAGGCAAAAGGCCAAAATGAAAATAGATAAATTAAAATAGAATTCTAAAATATAGTAAAAGAAAGGAAAAAAAGAAAATAAACAAAGAGACAATGACAACAACAAAAAGTCTCGGGGGGGGGAACATAAAAATCAAAGTGAAATTGTAGACTTAAATTCAACCCTATCAATAATAACATCGAGTGTTGATAGGCTAAGCAATCTAGTTAAAATGCAGAAATAACCAGAATGTATAAAACATCAACACCTAATTGTTTATTATCTATAACAGAAGCATTTAAATATAAATACACATAGAGGCTGAAAATCAGTACATTGAAAAAAATATGCAGTACAAATATAA